AGTGCTCTGTGAACATAAATTAGTTAGCATAAATCAGTTAAATTATGAAAAATTAGGGTCTATTTACTTGTGACCACTCAGTGTGTGTATATGAAAGATTCCATTTTTTCAGAATAAAGCTGCATAATATGTTAAGTTTCGGACTATTCCTTCCAATAGATGCATAAAGTTAAGGCACACAGCCATGTTAATGTTTAATTAACGCCATAAAAATAAGTACCTGTGGGTGGGAAAAAGTAGCATTTTAATACTGTTTTGTTCTGAATGAATAAACAATAAACTGACCATTGGATTTTGTTGTCTCCACTCATCAGAAAGTCTTTTCTTGAAATGAAAAACTTTATTCAAAACCCCTTTTTTTACTTATCAAATGAATGGTTTGTATGTTATTTATTTTTTATGTATAACATTTTTTATCTACAAAATTATCATTATTGTTTAAAACATACTTCATAATCCATGCCTGTGAATGATGGTTAATAGTTTTAATTAAAGATGGTTTTTATATAGTCATTATTTATTGATAAAAGTGAATGACAAGCAGATCGTGAAATCTGCTGTAGTGTATTATAATTCAAGTTCAGAATAATTTACTTAGCTTGTTAAAATCTGTAGGCCTAAAGATATCTAAATGGTACACATTAACAATAAATATTTTACTGAAAAAATCTACAGTAATGCACAGATATAAAAAATTTAAATGTTTTAAATACTTCATCTTATTCATTAGAGAGTATTTAATTGTGTAACTTTAACATACTAATTTTTTGCTTAGTGTGATGCTTGAGTATGTAACATGATAAAAATGTGATTTTAATTGATTAACATGATTTCATATGAGACTTTTTCACCTGGAATATTTGTTTCAAAGAAGAATGGATTCTATAAAGCTTCTATTATATGAACAGTCATTCCTTTTTAATTATAATTTGTCTTTTTTCTTCAGGGTTAACATGAATGGAAAAGAAAGCCAAGGTATTTGAGTCTTGAATTGTATGTTAATGTGTGCATCATGAAGATCGACAGGAGTAAATTAAAGAAGAGCTCTTCTGAAGTGGTAGGTATTGTTTCTTAAACCTTGCATCTTAGCATCTGTTATTATCTTTCTTATATCTTTATACCTTTGATCTTTCCAAATGTGTTATTTTTCTTAAAAAGCCATATGTATACTTTGTCTTTTGAGTCGTAAATTTTGATCAGTTATAGCTAAAACATAGTTGTATATAAAAATTAATATACAAAACAAGATGTCACTGAATTGTATTTGAAAAATTAGTAATATTATTTAAAAATTGGAAGCTTAGACCAGTTTTTTAAGTACTAATAGAAAGATACTGAACCTCGTTTTCAGTGGCATTGTGGTAGCACTTCACCTAAACTATTTCAGCACATTTTTTACACATAGTCAACTTGTATGTTGTTGTTTTTGTTTTTTATGGAGCAAAAATGTAATGGAAGTAGAAAGGCATTAAGACTACAATGGATTTGAAAGTACTTAAAAAATGAAATGATAATTTTTGTTATTAGTGATTTTGTGAATATTCCCTCCTGGGTAAATATTGCATTATTTCTAAACAATTTTAAGTTTAAACTTGTGACTAAAGTACAGTAAAGCTATTTTTGTAAATATTCGAAATTAATTATAATGTCAAATTTGAATCATTTGTTAGGAATTCTTATTTATGTTAATTCCACTTGTCATTTTAATCCTTTAAAATGGTTATAGATTAATTTCAAAATGAAAAAATTAATCTTTAACAACTGGTATGTGAAATCACTATACACATTTTGATTTTTCTTTGAGCTTCCCAAATCTCAGCTATACTTATTCTGTAGTATTGATTTTACATTGAGTTATAAAACTTAAATGGATTAAGAAGAAATAGACAAAAATAATAGTGAAGGAAAATTATACATAGTTTTATATATTTAAAACAACTTGATTACTGTTAAAAAAATATTTTTAAAATAATCCTTGGCTTGTTGCCAATTTAAGCAAAAATGTATCTACATTTTTCCTTGGATTTTTGCCAGTTAAAAACTGAGAAATGTCTGCATTGAACAATTTAGTCATAATGTCTCATTTTGAAGGAACTGAAGTAATGTTTGATTGAAAATGTAAAAAATAATTTTATAACTGATTGTAGGACTTTTTGTTAAAACAAGAATAAAAATGTAAAATGTTTTGAGATTAGTGCTGTTATCAAAATCAGTAGTTTCAAGTCACCGATAAATGAAAAAGTCGTAGGGTGTGGATAACAAGTAACGTCAGATGGCACAGCATTTGCACTCTTTTGATTAGCTTGTAAACTGGCCATAACTCAGTCCATTAAAGAATATCTTAATGGTTCTTGTGCTAGTTCATTCTGGCTTTTATGCAGAGACCACAGTTGCCTTTTTGTTAATACTATGTACATGCAGCTTACTGTAAAGGTGATCTATTAAGCTTGTGTAAGTTGTATCCATCACCAGAGGGTTGGCTGGTTCAATTACAGTAATTTCTTGTATAGTAACTGGAAACTGATGATGTATATGGGCTATTTCATTTAAAGATTTTGGCTCAAGAAGAGGGATTAAAAAAAAACTCCCTGAAATGGGGAACATTCCCACTTTTTTTACAGACTTTTGGCTTTGAATTTAAAGACTCAAGTACTTAATCAGTTAAATGAGTAAATTATTATCTTTCACAAAGCAGGGTATGCAATTAGCATCTAATGAGACCATTGGGGGTTTAATAGAAAAAGGGAACATTATCTGACATTGTCCTTCAAATAGTTTTTGCTTCCTTAACAGGAACTCTTAGCTAGTAAATGTAATATACATGTCCTATACATTTTTTTATTAAGCCCCTTGCCTTTCTGTAATATGCACAATGTTGGAGGAAGCAAAATTGAAAGTATATATATATGTTTTGTCTTGATACCAACTTGATTAATTTCTTACTCATTTGTTTGTGTATGGAAAATTTAACATATTTTGAAGTCCATTAAATTGTCATTTATATTAATTCTGCATGTTTCTAAACATGAATTAAAATTATTTGCTGGAATTAAATTTTATGAAAGAGGAAAATTTTAAATTAAAATAACTATTTGGAAAAGGTATTATTTGCTTTTAGCAACAACTCTAATATACATGGGTTAAAGATAGAAATAACAATAGTTGTCTGTCAATATTCAAGTTACATTATTTTTATATGAAATAGATGAAATATTTCTTTAGCAAACACTTAAGTTTGTGTGCATTTAAAAAATCTATAAGCTAATTAAAAATATTTTATTCAAATAACCAATATTTAATGACCAGGCTTTCCAAATCCTGGACATGAGGTTGCCATTGTAGCTAAAAACTGACCTTGCATATACAAATTGTTTGGGGGTAATTTTTCATCATAAAAATTTGTTTATGTGTGGACTAACATTTATGATATAATTAAGCGTAAAAAAAGATTGGTTAAAGATTTGATTTTCAATGACTATGAAAATTATTAAGTCCAAATTGACATAATTCTGCAAAGACTTAAATTTCTTTTGTTTGAATGCCATTCAATAAACCTTTGTATCAGCAGGTAGGTTCCGAAAAGTTTCTGTGAGGTTTACATAGTTTTGCATTTTGTAGAAAATATTGCATCTTTAATTCATCTTTAAAGTACTGTTAAAGCATTATTAACATTAAATTCTAGATAAATAGCATGTGTATTTTATTTTTTGTATAACTTGACCAAAATTGAAAATTGGATAAATTCTTTTGAGCAAGGCTGGATGACTCTCTCTTGCTTCTCATCTGTTGCAACTGCAATGGCCTTATATCTAAAATTTCAAAGTTAATCTTCATGCACATTAACATTAAGATATGTGTGTGTGTGTTTCAATATAAACACCTTAATTATATTAATATGTACATACGTACTGTAATACAAGAAATGTTCACTGATAGCTAGATGGGAATATAAGTATGATGATAACAGAAAATGGTTTTATTATTTATTATTTTATTTAAATAAAAGTGAAAGGGTGTGCTAAATATTATGATAAATATTGCAAGTTTACACAAATGTTTACTTAAAACAAAATGCGAGGAAGATTTTGGTAATTTTGTATGTATAAACATAAGAGCTATTTGAATTGGCACAGAAAAAAGCATTTCAATGATTATGAAATGTAGAAGACATGCATATGAAAACTCTGGATGTGAAATTTTTAAAAAATTGTAATTTTCTTAATTTGTGATTTTTCAAATTAATAAAATGTTAATATTTATGAAATGTTAATTAGAAATTATTGTGTTATCTATGTTGTAATATTTATATATTTACAGTCAGACAAAATGCTTGGTAGCCTACACTTGGTGTACAATAATTTAATAAAGCATGAAATACAAGCAATTAGTTAACATTATTCCATAACTAATGTGACAAGAATCAAAATACACAATTTATTTTAGTTTGACAAACATTCTTTAGAAAAGATCTTTATTTCATATATTTGTTCATGACAAAAGTATTGGCACTTTTCATTAAAATTTCGTAAAACCTCACTAAAACTAATTAAAAAGTACATTAATTTACTGAAAACCATTATTCAGTAATTAAGCTGCTTTATAAGATCAATAGCCAGAAAAGTGGTAAACGAGAATTTTGTGCTAACAAAGCAGATGATTCTCAAGACAAAGGAGTTGGATTCATGCTTGAGAAAAGCATTTGTAGAAGACTACAACAAAATAAATGGTTACAGAGCAGTATCAAAGAAATATTGAGTAACAAAATCCACAATCAGAGCAATGATTAAGGAGTAGCACAAAATAAATTCAACTGAAATGCTTGAAAGAAGTGGATGTCCAAAGATAAGTACAGGTACAATAGATAGGAGAATCAGCCAAGTAGGTAAAAAAAAATCCAAGATCAACAGCCAAGGACTTAAAATTTCAGAATAATTAAACATAATAGCACACAAAAGAACTTGAAAAGAATAGAATTGTGCAAATGTAGGTCTCTCTGCAAACCACTTTTAAAGAAAATTATTAAAACAAATCTACAACTTGCCAAAAAATATGAAGAGGAATCTGAAGCCTTCTTCCTAGATTTCTTTGTTTTGGTGAGACTAAAGTAGATCTTTTCCTAGTAAATGGATTACAGTATGTTTGGAGAAAACAGAGAACAACTTATACCTAGTTAAACATGAAGGTGGTTCAAGTCATATGGGGGTTTTCCGGCAAGGTAGGGACTGGAGACATTCACGTGATTGAAGAGCAAATGAATGAAGGCATGTATCAAAACATTCAACAAAGTACAATGATTCCATTCACTCATAGGATGATAAGCAGAAGGTTTGTTTTCCAAAATGACAATGATCGAAAGCATATGGCTGTTAATTTTGGAATTTTTGAGAAAATTGAAGATAGAAGTGCAAGTAAGATCTTCACAATCACTAGATCTCAATCCAGTAGAAATGCTTTAACTGAACAGAAAAAAAAGCTGTAGCAAGGCATTGTGTGTCCAGTCAGTCTGCACTGAAGGATCTATGCAAATCAGTTTACTAAATCACAGGTACTTTAAATCTTTCGACACAGGGGTTGGTCGATTTGACCGAGTCACGTGGCCTTCTGTACTCGTTTAAAGTTGACATCAATTTAATACTTATAACTCTCTATATATTGGGTATATCTTCATGAAATTTGGCAGTCTTTCAGTTAATATTATAAGTCTTTCACATACAAAAAGTCATTTCTTAGTGAAGTACTTTTAATAAAATAAAGTTTTGCCCATGAATGTATTGAGTATTTGTTTTGAATAGCCTATGTGCAAAGTAACTTTCTTGTTAAAATTAAAAATACTTTTCGTCATCTCAGAAATCTCAAATTTCCTTTGTGTATTCCCTAAAACTTCTTAAATGCATTTCAAACGTTTTTTTTTTCACTAAATCCTT